GGTAACTTGCGCTTGGTCACGCAGCGCACTTGGACTGAGGAACTGGTTGTAAACCACTGAATCTGGACTCTTCTGTGAACAGAAATAGAGTGACTTGAGGAAAAAGATTATGCAAATGTTGCAATTAATGTTCTTAATAACATATTCCGGTATGTACTTTCTATCGAATGGTTTATGGTCACACGTATATGTGTTACAGGTTTGGGTTATCCCAGATGGCGCAGCGCACTTGGACTGAGGAACTGGTTGTAAACCACTGAATCTGGACTCTTCTGTGAACAGAAATAGAGTGACTTGAGGAAAAAGATTATGCAAATGTTGCAATTAATGTTCTTAATAACATATTCCGGTATGTACTTTCTATCGAATGGTTTATGGTCACACGTATATGTGTTACAGGTTTGGGTTATCCCAGATGGCCATAAAAATGTAACAGAAAAACAAACTTGTGTATATAACTTTTCTGCAGGTGTTTTTTTTTCTACACAGACCAATATAGATGAAACACGAGTGTGTCATATGGTTTTTTTCTACACAGACCAACATAGATGAAACACGAGTGTGTCATATTTAAGCAGGGTAATAGATGAAAGTGGGGAAGACACTAAGAAGCAGAAAAACCTATAAAATGCACATGCTTCTTCCCCCTCCTAGGTGAGCTACAGGCCAACAGCTTGATACGCCGAGCTACAGTCCAGAGTATGTCTGAGACAAAAGCTGTGCTGTGTGGCATAGGCATGGTTAGGGAGCCAGCAGAGCAAGATGCTCGAGTCAGATCTTGGCATATTCCCAGCTGCTGCTTTTTATTCTCCTCAACATCAGTGCAGTGCCAGTGCTGAAACCAGCATAACCCGGTGGGTCTCCTTTGCTGCCTGTCCCCGAGACATCCTCTATGGGACAGCAATACCACCAGTAACATTCTCCTGTGTAAGAGCTGATGCATCTGCTAGCACAATTCAGGGGTTAAGGTTGTTGTTTTCCCACGTAGAACAGAACAAGGCTTGCAGTGGGTTTTGGGATGTAATACCCCAGGCGTGAGCCCCACACAATATTAAAGGGGCAGTAGTGCGGTAGCAGAATTCATTATTTTGGAATAACATCCATAATGAAGCTGATAAATAGATGCAAAGTTGTGCTTGTTCTTTCTGGCATTTGACTCCTCTTTCTCATACCTTTGAAAACTAACTTTTCACTGGAATGCTGGCCTGAAGGAATAAATCTTACATCCCCTGTGCTGGAACAGTTTAAAAAAACCAAAACAAATCCCCCGTACAAAACATAACAGCAGCAAAAAACAAATCACAGCACCCCTTCCCCCTGCCCCCAACCACTCATAATTAAGATATTCAGAGGATCTCTGACTGCTGCTGAGAGAACATCAGTTCTACAGTTAGCTGCCCAGTGTTGAAGGACAGAAGGAGCTCTAGCAGAAGTACAGGAATTTTTCATTGAAGACTGCAACCACGTACTTCATTTACTGCAGCAGTATGGATTAAGGTCTTCAAAGTAATTGTGCTGGTAGAACAGCTTCCACTGGAAGAAACCGAGTTCTGATAAAGCCATGTTCTGCTGCGAGTCCCCCCTCCAGCAAATCTTAACGCCTGTTTTTTTTGTGCGCATAGGGTGAACACTTTGATCAGTCTCATGTGGCTCTACCAAATGTTTCAAAGTTCTTCTTGCATCAAGCTCTGGAGGAGAGAAAAGCTGCAGAGGCTTTGATGAAGTATCAGCAAGAAAGAGGAGGCCATTACTGTTCTAAAACCATCCAGGTGGGTAGCAGACAACACGCTTTCGAGCAGTTGCAACCCACAGCAACTAGCTTCTTGCATTATCTTGTTGGCGCTTCAGATCTCTGCGTTCATCCGCTGTTGGTTTTCCAGATATAAATTCCCTGTCATATTAGTGTACATAGTTTTGTTCTTGGTTGTGATGTCTGGAAACTGTCACACATACAGTCCTAAGTCTACATGGTTGCTTTCTAGCCCAAAACAGTGGTCCCCCTTTTTTTTTCCACTCAGCTGGACGCTGCTGCTTCCAGAGTGCTGTAATGGATAATGACTCTTCTTAAACTTTGCTGAGGCAGCCCACTTGTCTCCTTCACACTGAAACCAAATAGACGCCTAGAAGTCATTAACACCTACAAAAGGTGTAAGGAAGGAGGTAGGAGAAACATCCAGCTTGGGGCAGTAGCTGATCTGCGGAAGCACAGCTCAGGCTAGAGATATGTCTCAGGCTTGCACGGCTAGAAAGGAATAAAGTTATCAGGAAGAAAACCCATCTCATTTGTTAAAGACGGGGGGCTGATTATCCTCTACCAAATTAGTATTCTGTAAGTAGTTAATACAGAATGCTGCTCTTTGGCTTATCACAGCAGTTGTTAAGCTGTAGAAAGTAAAAATACAAAGGCCATCTTAAAAAGCTTTCTAAATGTTCAGTTGGATCCGGGAAGACCTTATTAGCAGCCTTCGAGCACTTGAAGGGGCCTACAGGAAAGTTGGGGAGGGACTGTCGATGGACAGTCGATCAGGGAGTCTAGTGATAGGATGAGGGGTAACGATTTTAAACTGAAACAGGTAGATTTGGATTGGATGTTAGGACAGAGTTCTTCCTGGAGAGGGTGGGGAGGCACTGGAACAGGTTGCCCAGAGAAGCTGTGGATGCCCCATCCCTTGATGTCTTCAGGGCCAGGCTGGATGAGGCTTGGAGCAACCTGGTCTAGTGGAAGGTGTCCCTGCCCCAGAGTGGTGGGACTGGATGGTCTTTAAGGTCCCTTCCAACCCTAACCATTCTGTGATAGGATTTCCTGGAGTAAGAATGTTCCTCTGGCGTAGCTGCTGCTATCTACATCTCTGTTCCTTGAAAAAGTGCCTGGGTTCTGGTGCTTCTCTATGTTTACACCCATACAACTCAAAAAAAACACCCAAATGCTCCAAACTAGAAGGACTTATTGCAATATCCTAGCACATCTTTTTCAGAGTGCCAGGTAAGTTGCAGAAAACCATCAATGAATATAGTTGAGCTGTTCTGAATAAATGTAATCCTGTCTTTGTTTTTAGAAACCAAACACTGAGTATGCAGTTGGTCTGATGAAAGCCCTGGAATTAGCAATGGTACAGTGGAAGACTATGATACGGTATTTTGAAGAGCTTTATGCCCTGAGTATTGAAAATGCAGACCCTCACAGCGCAAGCACTATCAAGAAACAATTTATCAGACCCAAAATCTGGAAGATCAAGCTGATGGGAGATCTGCTGACCAATGCTCGCAGGCTTGACTGCTCCCAAGATGGCAGAAATAGTCTTGGAGATTACTTTATGGACCGGTTGCAGAAAGAGTTCAGAACAGGCATAGAGCCAGAGTCTAGTCAGCACTGCAGCCCCTGCCCACCTCTCCAGCAGCATACAGGAGCTGCAGAGGGTCTGAAGCGACCCCAGAGAGAATCTTCCCAGCACAGAAACGGCATAGGGCCAATATATGCAACCATCCACTGCACTGCCACGCTGCCACAGTGCAGTGATGGGACAGCAGCAAAAGGGAAGCAGGGCAGGGAGGGACTTTAATGCTGTGGCTGCAGGAGCTACAGGGCAGCTCCTACAGCAGACCTCTATGGAGGGTGGCCTTGAGACCAGAACTCGGGGGACATGATGCTGTATTGCTCCTCCTGCTCTACACCCTGTCCCCTTGTCCTCTGTTGAGCCACAGCTTAAAATCTAGCCAGTACCTTTATTTTGTCAAAATGATAGCGAAGTTGCTAATTACCTTGGTTGTTGGCATTAGTTGCACTTTCATCTATGCAATTCCTAGAAGCCAAAAGCTTTTAAGCCTCTCTTCTGTCTTAAATGATTAATAGGATTACGTACTGCAAATTATTTTAACAGTATATATGACTTTTATATTTAAAAAAACCCAACAACTTCAGTACAAGGAGACTTGGGTGATAGAAAACTCAAAGATTTAGTTTTATATTATTAGATATTTTATATTACTAACATTTTACATTACTAACAAGTATACTAACATAATGAGCTTTTTTAAGACTTGTGTTTAAACAAAGTTTTCTTGTCTTCTTTCTATCATAGTAGCAATTTAAATAAGTAGTCTAATCCATCTACTTTTCGCCCAGCTATTTCTAGTGGTATACTTTTCCAGGATGAAGAATGCAAACATTTCCTCAGCAGTGGGAATAAGACAGTGTGCTGGTTTTCTCCACAGTTATTTGCCTAGTTGGCTTTTCTCATGCTCAGAAAGCAGATGAGAGATAAATTAGGGGTCTCATTACCTAACTTAGGATGGTTGCTTTAGTTACCATACAGACCCGTTTCAGCTGACTCAGTGCTGGTATTACTATGGTACTACTGCTATTTCATGTATTCCCCATCTTGGCTGTCAGGAGGGGAATAAGCCCCTGGTGAAAACGCAGCACGCAACTAGAATCACATCGTGAAGAGTGGCCACTCATTAGTTCTGCATTTCAGTTAGGGCAGTATTCAGTTAGGGGGGCTATTAGCACCACCACACCTAAGACCTTGACTTTAGCCAGCTTGGCTGAAGTTCAGAGGTGTCCAAACTCCTTCCATTCATCTCCTGCAGCAGTGCCCCTTCTCTACACTGGCTACCAAGGTCACCTGAGAAGAGCAACTGCCTAGACCAGCTGGCTGCAGCTCGGGGGTTTTGTCATGACACACAATATCTTTTATGCAGTTGGGGTTTGCTTCATTGAAAGACTCTTACACTTTTATGTAATACTATCAGATATTCCTATTATGCTTGGAATAAATAAAAAATGGCACTTTGCATCCACACTGTATTCCTCAGTTCACCACACAGGCATGCTAGCATTCTTCTCCACGAGACTGTGTATTTACACAAAACTGCACCGGTACTTTCCTGTGGCTGAGAAAGTTGCACAAGATGGAAGAGTAGACCACGCAATGGAAATAAATGTCAGAAAACTGCATTAAGGTAAGAACACTGCACAACGAAACATTTTCAGTAAACTGACTTTTACACACTGCTGCAGTTAATTAGCCGTTTCTGAAGGAAAAAAAAACACGCCAACCAACCATCTACTTTCTGTTGGTGGTGTAACACAGACAGACAGTCACAATGCAGACATTTTCTTAATCCTCCCATTGATAGGATTCAAATCTGGGGGCGAAGTCCCTTTAAAACAGCCCCTGTATTCATCTGTAAAAACGCCGCAACGTGTCACAAGAAGGGCTTGAAGCACTCCTAGCCACATGCAAGATTTGCCTACGTTGAGATGGCTGCTCTCTAGTGCAGCAGCACTTTAAAAGATATTTCCATCTGGGCTGGATTCCATCACCCATCCTCATGCTGAGCATACCTTATCCAACAATTAGTTCCACTGACTGCAACTCAACATGAGTAAGAGCAATGGAATCCATCCCTCCCGGTACTAAAATACGGCTGAGTATGAAGAGCAAAGCTGCTAACCGAACTACAAACTAGTGCCATGTAAAACCAGCTCAAATACTGCTGGTAATGTCTGGCTTACTTCTACAACGGCCTCTGCTTAAGAGTTGGTGACCTTCTGAAGTGTAGGTACAGCCTCCTCCACGGCTTCCAGCACTTAAGACTGTCTTTAGTGAATTCCAGCACAACAAAGAGCCCAACGTTTGTATTTTTTCAAAACAAGACACTTGCCTCGTCTTTTTTCCCGAAATTCTGCCACATCTGTTTCTCAGAGACTCTTCTCATACTCATCTTCATAGCCAAGCGTATCCACACCACCTCAGACTCTAGGTCTGTCTCTCTCCTTTTTCCACAGCACATTCTGGGCCCTCCAGCTGAAGAGACAATTCTGTTCATTTTAGATAAACTCACAACCAGCAATTTTCCCAGTGCTTAGTCTCTGAAAAAGAAGAGAGAAGTCAGTCAGTGTAGATAACAAGCTCTTTGTGTGCTGAAAGGAGACATAATATGTGTGTGAATATGATCTCAAACTTTGTTAACAATACCTGACTGCTGTCTATAGGATGAGCCTGTCCACACTTCTCAGCATAGGCACTACACTCTGCCCCTGCCTTCCCAGCTTCCTTTTCAGTCACGCCCTGAAAAAAAGGAGATGAAGGATGAGTGAGGAACAGGTATGAGGGCAACACCACTTAGAGCAACTTCACTCTGCTGAATGCTTGTTCACACACACGCCTGTGTCTGTACTTCCAAAGCTATGTCCAAACACGCGATCCGGGGCAGCTCAGAACAGCTATAGCAGCACCAGTCCCTTGAATACAGCATCCCAGGTGGAAGCTGTGGAGTAGAGACGTAATCTCTACTGAAACGATGAGTTACAGCCACAGAGGCTTCCAGGCAGGTATTGACAACGGCATGCTTCTGAATGCCTGCCATCTGCACTACGTGAGGCTGCACGGGAAGGGGCCTTGCTGCCGCCTGCTCGTGGGGTGAGTCTCCAGGTGGAGATCGTGCTGTCCTTTGTCTTACTGTGGCCACACACAATTGAGAAGAGCACCTCAGGATTTGGTCTTTGCAAGGACTTTTTTTTTCCAGGCCCTACGGAACAAGGCAACATCTTTCTGGACAAAGCCATCTTTGGGAATAAGTAGTACTAGAAAGTGAATGTTAGTTTTGGTGGCGGCAGCAGGGAAGGAGTCCTCAAGGGCACCTTCACTGGAAGATCGCTCCGAGCAGAATTCACCATCTGCTCACAGCTTCCTCCTGACTTTTTCACCTAGGTGAATTCATGGACTTGAGAGCATTCATGGGCAGCTACTGGCAGTCTCCTCATATTGCTTGTCCAAGTCCCATTTGTTACCACTTGGCCCAAGGTAGCCACTGTGTGCACAAGTCCCAGAGCGCCTTTTCCCGGGGTCGAGTCTAACACAGAAACACACAGTGGCAGAACACACCACACCACTGGCTAAATATTTGGTAAAATGACCTATTCCACAAATTAAACAAATGATCTGGAGTGAGTTTACATGTCTGGAGTGGGTCAAAGAGCCAGCACCAAGCCTCCATATCCCAATTTACATGTTCAGTTGGCACAGCATACAACTATTTCTCATTTATGCATTACTGTTTACCTAGCACTATTTTGAATACACATTATTTTTACTTTTTAAACTGTTCAATAAAGATTTAAACAAAATGAATCTGTTCATTCCTTCTGGATCAAAGAACCTCTGTTATAACAGTGCAGCGTTTCCGCAAGTTTGATACTCTGCCTCTCAGAAGCAGCTGGGAGTTACGCTTCTAAATGTGTAGGGGTGTCTGTAGCTGATGTCCTTGGCCATACTGCTTTTCAGCATTGGACACAGGGAAAGACTTGTACAGAGTCCAAAACATATAATTTTTTCTTTAAATATTTTATTTTGGGGGCATAATGACAGAATGTGACTAACAGCTCTTTGTCAGTGCTCAAAGACATTTAACTAAGTAGAAAATGGGGACTGCAGATTAGGAATTTTTGCAAAAACCCCATCATGTAACAGCAAAAGCCACCATCGTGACAGCTCCCCACAGAGGCTGGGGGCGAGGTCACTGATGGACAGTTTTCTACCTTTGCAGATGCGCTCAGTCAGCTCTGTACCGCACTGAAGATAGAGCTTTGCCTTTGATTTTGAACAAGTTGAAATTTCACCCACATTTATAACTGCAGAATGGAGATTAATTTTAGCTCACGGTTCATTAAAAATACCCGTAACTATTTTAATCATGAAGCCACTGGAATCACACAGTTGAATTGCTGAAGTGCTTCCGTATCGGAAAAAGACCCAAGTTTCTCATTCCAAAACCAGAGGAAAAACTCCAGCACCCTTGAGAGACGTTACCAAAACTCATCCCACTTCTCCACATTCCAAACTGCCACTGCTCCTTAGGGACATGGCGGATGCTTACTGCACGAGCAATCCAGCTCCAGCCCAGCTCCGTGTGCGGAGAAACGCGGCTTCACGGGGTGAAGTCAACCCCTGCAAAGGCTTCGGAACAAAAGGGAAGAGAGGCCGGAGTTGAAAGAGGCACCCGAAATGCACATTTATACACCTTAGTTCATGTGAAAACAGTAATTTGCTGAAGTGATAGCTGAATATAACTCGGGCCTCAGCTCTCCTCCAGTTCCTCTTTACTAAACCATTGCTGCCCGGATTTACTGGAGCAATCGAACGCTTCCTGTGACAAATATAAATGCAAAGACGTAAGCAGGGCCGCAGCTTGCTGAGGCACGGGACGGGTGTCTCAGCCGCGCCAGGCCTCACTC